TCAAAGATGAAAAGTTATGTCTCCCAAAATCTATCCGAGGAACGGAGGAAGCATGCAACCTCTGAGATATGCTGGAATTTCATTGGGATTGTCTGAATCTGCAGGTCCTCTCTTCTTCTTGCCTTTGGCACAGAGGTAATCAAAAAAGAGAATGCATAAGCTCTTCGAATTCAACTTAAGTGCATGAAGGCCACTGCGGCCTACCAACTCATCATTGTCAAATCTCAGTTTCATCTGGCTCATCCTGAAATGGATGACATTCCTGCAGGGGGTGATGGATGCAAAGATGAAGCTTTTCTTGCGCTGTAAATATCATGGGTTGAGTCGGATCCTGTAAACACACATAAGAGATAAGTTATCAGTTTAATGTCCTCCACCACCACTTCGGCTGGGTCATCAAGCAAGGACAGCATAGCGCCACATGCGATCTTCCTTGAGCCCTAGCTGTCTAACTTACAACATTGAGCCATGAAATTGCCCCAAAAACCTGAGACAACATGCAACCACAAGGACTTCAAGACACAAACAAGACTGCCATGGGGTTCAAACCACGATTCAAACCGAATCCTTGATCAACACACTCCAAACACTTCAAGACAGTGAGATGTGCCAACACGTTTTTAGCGGAAGATGCTGTAAGACTGTAAGACCTGAATTTCAATGAATCCGGCAGGAAATCGTAGCAAACGCAGCGGACTCTTCCAGGGGGTAGGAAGTTGATGAAGTCAACATTCCTTGGCTGATTCTGACACAAGTTGAAAAATACTTTCTGTTAACTTTCAATTTCCATTTGGTGCGTGTGTTTGCCGAGGTTCTCCATATACCATTGTTGTGCCTGATTCTCATAGTACTCTGGGGGACTCAAGCGGAAGTACTTGAGTTTGATTGTTTCGTCCACCGTGTACATAGAGGCTATCATCCATTTTTTGCCATCATGCCACTTCGTGTACCACACATCTATGCCATCGAACAATGGATGTTGATCCTGTGAAGTGCCCTTGGCTGTGGCACTTGCAAAACCAACTGTTTGTTGATGGCATTGCTTGCTTTAACAGTAAAAACCATATGCTGCCAACAAAACACTTGCCATCTCAGAAAATTGAATCCAAATTTCTTCAATATATTGTACCCAGATCCCTTGCAGAAGCTGTTGGCTCTCATAGTCGTATGGGCTGACCCGTACCCATCCAGGTGTCTTGTCAACCATGTTGAAGTCTTTGTTCTGCAACCAAGGTCGTTCTTGATCCTTATTCACGATTTGTAAGAGCATCTCATACTTGCCGCGAGGGAACGTTCCATCATGTGGCCAAAGAGTGCCTTGGTTCTCTCAACAAATTGCCAAATTGTTATTCCACAGACTTATCAAAAACTTGACAATGTTAAATCAAAGTGCCTAATGTATATGTGTGCATTCGCTCACGTGAAAGAGTCCACCAGACTGCTTCATCAACCTTTTCCTGGCGTTGTAGCATCTCATCCAAAATGGCGTTGACGACTTCATTGCTGCAATGGCGCTTGCGGTTCATGAAGCGCCGCATTTGAAAAGAAAGAAAACTGTGTACATGTTGTGTTTTAGTGTTTTCCTTCTTCCTCACCATGTACATGCACACCACACAGTTGAGCCTGCATGATCTGCGCAGGTACTGGCGGGTCACACTGTGTCATCTTAACATTCTCAGTGAAACATCTTTACAGTCACCTGTTCAAAGCAATGCATATCCTTCGGATACTTGGCACGCAACACGGAGGTGCAAACAGCTGGGCCCAATTGTTTGATATATGACATTAGTATGATTAGTAGCATTTTTCATCTCGCATGCGTTACACAAAGCTTTGGCAGAATCAATGCAATGCGCAGTGCAATGCTTTGGCAGAATCAATGCAATTGTCCCATGTGTGGCACACAATTTTTGGTAGTGGAGCATGCTTTGCTCATGATGGTCTTCCCATCATAGACAGCTGATCAAAATGAATTGACAGCTAGTTGCCATGAATTTAACTTATGCGTGCTGCCTCATCAGATCGGCTAGTTCTCCGATCCTCTCCCTCTGGGCTTGCACCTCTGTCAGCAATTCGTTCATCATCGCCACCTGCTCTCGAGGGACTTCTTGGTTCGAAACCTGGGTGGCCACCTGATTCAACAAGATCATCAGGAGAGCTTGGAGGGAGTGCATGACGTGGTCGGCAATGCTCTTGACCATCTGCATCAACTCTCCCCGGGTTGGCATTGCGATCAACGATATGCGCAAATGAACTCGGCTCACAGTTTGCTCCGAAAATGCTCTGGGTGTCACTGGATTCCGCACATAATTCTTGCATTCTGATCATCAACAAACCTGTTTTACCTTCAACTAGCTTCAACGACCTATTCATGCTCTTCAGGAAACATGAATTCTTCTCTAGATCGATGACAGTTCCAAGACGCTTCATGGTTTGAATCGAAAGTAAGAACGGCGTGCCCTTCGGAACAACTTCGACCACGAGCCACATGCGTATTTTGTGTGTATCTATTGGGATGTGAACTTGCTTATGGCTGTGCTCTATCTGATTATTGCCGAATCGAAAAGCAACTCTGCTGGCTTGCTCTTTTACACGGCTTCGGACCTTCTTCGGTAACTGGTCTAACAGCTTTGGGAGATTCGCATCTCCGATCACACTCCGGCTGGCGCCGGTGTCTAGGATGGCCATTCCGTTTGTCTCGAATCCGGTGCTCTGGCCTGTCTTACTGAAAAGACCCACGGCTTGCTCCACCACTTGAGGACTCTGCATGGATGTGGAAGGCTTCCTGGAGTGGACGAGCACGGATTGGTTTCGGCTTCGAAAGAACTCTTTGGTCTTATCTATTATGGCTTCCGAAAAACAGACATGGGCTTCGGCTGGCTTATCGAACATTGCTTGCTGGGTGTCTTTCGTTTCCTTTTGTTTCGTTTCTGCCCCAACCTCACGATCGGATGAGATCTCTTCGATCAACATCTGCTCAGAAAAATCTGGCTCTGCATCTGCTTGGGCTGATGCAACATTCGCTTGGGATTCCTTGTTTCGCAGCGGGCACTCAGCCTTCCAATGCCCCAGCTCTCCGCATCGTTTGCAATGCGTTCGGGAAATCCTAGCCAACAGTTCATCTTTGCCCTTTGATTGACCTTTTCGGAAACCTTTCATTCCAGCTGACCCAAAACCTTTTCCACCCTTGACTCCGGAGGACTGATTCCTCACTGGCCAAAAGCCCCGATTCCGCTTGCGCTCAACTATTCTGCCCCGAGCCTCCTGGTAGCTGAGCAATGCTGAATGCAAATCAGGAACTTCTTGAAAAAGGTCTGTCAACTCTCGCTCAAACGATTGAACTGTCAATGCATCTGCGTCTCCTGCTCCTGCAAGCTGCTCCAACATATCTTGTGTCAGATCTTCTTCGTCAGCTTGCGACAGCAATGCACTTTGATCATTCGCTACATGTTCAAAGGTGTCCGTGTCGTTGTTCTCCTCTACGTAGTTGGTTGGATACACCTTCTTTTTCTCTGATCCAGCACCTGACAGAACATTTGTTGATAGACTCCTCATAGCATTGGCTATTGAGACTTTGTCAAACGTTCCTCCAGTCGTGGTCAGAATCTTCTTCTTGTCTTCATAGTTCAAATTGCTCTGTTTGAGCAACACAAATGCCACCACCGACTTCAAAGTCGTGTCCGCACCAACTTCTTCGAAAGCAACATCCAGCCTATTCACAAAAGACTGTGTACTCTCGTCGGCCTTCTGCGTGGTCTTGTAGATTGCCCTGTCAAACAATTCAAACGTTTTCAACTCTGCGCTCTCCTCCCAAGCCGACAATGCTTTCAACAAAAACTTCACTCCGTTGTCAGCATTTGTAAGATCATCAGGCTTAATGTTCCGAACCTGATGCCAAGCTGTTCCTTTGCACAACATTGCAAGCCTTGGAGCCAGCATGACTTTGTCTTTCTTCGGACAGATGCCTTCGATGAATCTCACTTTGGCGACATACTCCTTGATGTCATCAGAGCTTGGGTCAAAACTCGGCAAGAGCGACCAGATCGAATTCGACTTATCGTCGCTTCCGGCAGCTGCCATGGCTTCCCGCTGTCCTCAACGGGCCGTATGGGCTCCGCTACCAATGTGACTGAAAAACAGTCACACTGGAAGCTTCCTCGCCCTCCGACCAACCTACGTCCCCGACCGGTCCACCGATCGCCGCGTCCGCGCTTTTCTACCTTCCAGGTGTTTGTCCGATCATCGTGTCCAGGCCTTGAGCCAACCATCGGTGGCTTCACACTTTAAGGTTCCCTCCATTGGTGTCGGTCGATCGAAACTCTTCGATTCACATTCTTGCATGCCTGTTGGGGTTTAGCCAGTCAGCCTTGACGCACAAAGGCTTCTTCCACAACTGTGACGATGAACGCATGTTAGATGATGGAAATGCTGTTGCCAATCCAGGCATCCTGTGCAAGTAGTCGAGGCTTTTTACCCTCTATCCTGACCCAGGCTCTCCCAAGAAGATCAAAAACGACGGACTCTGTCTGATTCTGTATGTATGACAGACCAGTCATGCCTGAGTTTTGTAGGGAATTCACAAGCCATGTGCGACCGTTTTTTTGATCATACTAAAAGCAGTAAGTGAGTCTAGCCAAGCGTCTATTGGTTGAGCAACTGTAATTATTATATACGTTTCTGCCTGCTGCTGACTTTGCGCATGTTCAAAAAAAGGCATGTGTCAGTGGAAACGGAAAGCGAAGAGTGAACAAAGAAAAAAAAAATCAAACCACTAAAATACATGGTGTGTAACCTGTGTTCTTGTGTTTGTGTGCATGTTGCGTTGACGAATGTGTCTTATGAGTCATGCCAAAGGCTAAGCATGCTGACCTGCCCATCCAGTGGTCAAGCATCTGACCGGATTCCTCCATCTCCCAGTATCTCCCACGATCTTTTCCGGCGTCAACATCCCACAACGAAAAACAAATGCTACCATCTCCCGAACATTCTAATCGAGCAACTGCAATGACAGAAGGAACAATGCTGTTAGCACGCTCTAGCAGCACGCCAGTCATGAGGGCAATGTAGATCAACCTCATACTCCAGAGTGGTGTGATAGGTCAGCTCTACTTCACTAACTGACCAAACAAGCTTCCCGTCACCATTGGACCATTCAGGTTGGTCAAAAGCTCTCACAGTTTGGACGCCTATGTCACCTCTCATGCAAGCTTTTTCACAAGCTTTCCTGTTTCTCAAACGGGTGTTAGCGAATCTACCTGCAACAAATAGGACTTAAGGGAACAAATCCAAGTGGTGCTGATTCCGAGGGCCACACAGTCCCTGCTGCATATGTCGCATTTGGGTCATCCAGAAGACACCGCCCAGGTCTGCCTGCGTCAAGATTGTATAATTTCAATGAATCTTGAAGCACCCAGAGCTCAACTTGTATCCAGCGCTCGCAGCCTTCTTTGTCTCGGCGTAGACCTTGTGACTGAATTGGACAAAGAAGAGCACAGCGGCGCAAAGGAGGACGGGACTGCAATCTTGACAACATTCTGGCAGCCTCTTCTATCTCTTGATAGTATTGGAGCTAAAGGGATTGGAGATATCATGCAGTATCTATATATCCATATCGGCCTCTCAATCTGTCTATGTCTATATCTGCCTGCCAGAGGCATTGCCGTCGTACCTTTCTACATCATGGTCCTGGCTTGCTACATCAACAATTAGGTGTGAATGTATCTATGTATCCATCAATCCGTCCAGCTGTTCCCGCATTCATCCAGACGCCTCCTCTCTGGTTTGCACCACCTTTGATTTTGTCTACATTGTTGCATTGCATGACTTGTGTTCACCTTTGTTTATCTATGTTTTCTTTGCAGCTGTGCTTCCCTGGGCGGTCATGTTTCCACTGCGCGTGGCACGTGTGATCATCGGTCTCTCTGCCTGTCCAAACGTTCCCCGCAGGCACGATGGCAGTCCAAGGCACAAAGAGGTACCCATAAAGAAAGCGGCACCTTGGCGAGTTTTAAAGGTTTGTAGCTGTCCTTCCCTTGCAGTCGTTCACCTTTAGACTGAGCCTGGTGTCTCATTGTCACTATCTGGCAGAGGACTAAAAGCTTAATGACTCCTCCAGGAGGTATATCTCAAGCAAGAAGAGTGATCCATGTATCTCTGGCAGCAGCTTTGAGGCTTTCGAAGAGCGCTGCAGCCGCAGCCTAAGGTCCTGACACAGCACCTTAGTTGAATCAGCAAATAAGGTTTTGGAAGCCACCTTGAAGGATGTCGTGCAGACTCGCTGCACAGTCTATCAAGAGACAGGCGGTGGCGGACGACAATCTTTGCTCACTAAGCTTACTTTGGTCCAAGGATCCATTGATGAAGCATAGGACGGTAATCAGGGGAGAAAGAGTGCAGAACACCAGGCCAGTCACGGCAATGAGTGTATGTCTGGCACTTCGTGAGCCCATACCTTTAGCAGAGCAGGAAGGAATCGCAAGTTTGAGAAGGCCCGAGGCCTTAACTCCCCATCTAGCCATGTCACCGTAATAATCTTGGTCTTCTGGCTCTGCTTTAATTCGAGCTGTGTCCTCGGAGCAAACCTGTAGCCAAGAAGATCGCTCCTTCTTTCCATGAGACACTGTCACTGGACACGATGCGAGCCTTCCGGAACCCAAGGAATTTGAAGAGGTTCACATAGCGCAGCATGTTCATACCATGAGTACCCCACCTGACATGCGAAGAACACGCCCAAGGACCAAAGCGGCAAAAATAAACCACAAGAAGAAAGTCCTTTGTTGTAGGATGACAGAGGTGATGTCACAACAGAAAAAAGAGGAGCGCACACAGGTGTTATGCATAAATGAAATCCTTTGAAACCAAATGGTTCAAAATGGTTCAAAGCTTTGCATGTGGAACGGTGTTCTCTGCTCTAAGCGCTTCACTGCAAGGGTACATAATTCAAATAAAAGTGAGATGCAGCGGGTAGTGTCTGTGCGATGAGCTGCAAGATGGAAGTGGGTGACTGCGGCAAAGCGGACAAGTCGGACAAGCACAACTGATCTCCACAACTCAAACTGAAGCACCCCACGCATTCTCAAAGAGGTAAAGTCAGGATGACATATTTCAACTGCAAGCAATTGTTCCCGTTATATATATATATAGATGAGATTGCAAAGTTTGCGGTGTCTTAGAGTCTTATTGTGGCAATGCTGTTGAAATGTCATTGTATAAAGCCCAATCTGACTCTTTCAGCACAGCAGACCTTTCCTCAACAAGTTCCTTGAATCTATCCCACAGCGACGTACCCACGGCAGTCCTGATGCTGAGTCCAAGGGCAAAAGCACTTCACTACAAATCGTTGCATTGGAAGACAGGACTAACTGTGCAACTTGTAGAAAAGTCTGGAAAAACTATGGCGATGCAATTGATAAATATAAAATATTCATTGTACTGTACTTGTCAAGTCACACCAGGAGCACGTACACCACCTGGGCAGAAGTTGTGGCTTGTTCAAAATAGTAAAGCAAGTCTTCGATTCTAAACCGCTGCACTGTATGCAGCAGCACAAGTTATATAGATTTTGACTGGATAGTTCCAGTCAAAATCTTCTCATCTCCCTGCCATGACCTTGGAACTTGGGACCCCAAGGACCCTAGCGCCCGAGTGGCCTTAGATCTTAGATGCACGAGATGCACATATATAATGCATGCAGCTCCTGCTGATTAGGTTCTCTGAGAGGAACACGAACGGGAGAGCCACACAGGACATGTTGTCACAATGGTCCTAAGCACCTCGGGTCTTGTGTCGGTCAACTCATGGAATGGCCGACCTGAATCCCACCTGACTTTTCTGAACTGGGAGCGTGACCCGTGACAGAGACTTGAATTGGGCTTGGTATTTTTAACCCCTGTTTTGGGTGCTGCTTCGACACGTTCACCTCAGGGTTTCAAACAGACCTTTCTTTATTTCTTTTTTGACATGTTTTGGGGCGCAAGGGCCGCAAGGGTTTCAAACGGACCTGGTAGATTTGGGGGCCGTGCCCACAGAGGTGCCCAAACAACCCTGCCGACGAACCCCCAACTCCAACTCTACCAAACAGTGCTATTTGAAACCCTATACCCGTGTCCAGGTTGGATTTAAAGAGAGTCGGTATAGTTTCAGCAAAACAAGCAACGTGAGGTCAGTCCGCTGATGATCACCGGGCTGTTGCTACAGATGTTTTATGCTGACGGCACCATCTTCAACAAAGCTCCGGAGCTCATGCAACGGAGATATTGATTTCGAAAGTCATTTTCTCAGAAGGATTCTGCCAGGAGACATGCTTATATGATATATGGGAACAAGAGCTGTGGAGGCGACAAAAGGAAAAGCAAACTTCTCTTTGTCACAGCATGAGTGTTCAGACTTGTTAAGACTGGTCTTTAGACGGGACATGCGGACTTTGCGAAAGAAAAACGCAGCTCGACATCCTTGAACCTCAGCAGCTTGGTGCCAAAACAATGGCTGAAGAGTTGCTTTGCCGTTTCCTTGTGTATTCGTTATTTCTTTGTGCTTATTTTTGCGTTTCTTTTCGTGTTATTTCCTCTGTGTTTGCCCTCTCAGGTTGTCCAGCTTCTGCTGATGCTTTGTTCGCTGAGCACAGAAAAGTACCAGTTGGGACAGGATGGCTCGCAGGTGTCAAGATTGATGGAAGAAGAGGACAGAAGAAGAGTCCATGCATCGCATGTGCCACACCCATCCGGGCAGTTTTGGATTTCTAAAGCCTGTGACAAATCCAAAATGACGAATACAAGACCCCATGAGAGTCACACTGCGGGGAGGCTTTCAGTTGCGGTGAAGCATAGACATGCAGAACTACAAAGAGAATCACTGGAAGTACCTTGGGATTGCTAAGAAGCTCTTAAAGCAAGCGCGGCCCAGAAACCAGGAAGTAGAAATACCACTGCTGAATGTGGTGCTGCTCCCATGCATTTGCCTGCCAAAACAACATCATCTGCATCATCCCTCGACTGCCTTATATTGTCTTGCGGAAAAAGCACCTTCATAGTGAAGCAGGCGCTGAAAATCATCACCTGGGCGGTATGTCCGAGCATGAAGGTCCCTTCGTGTTGCACCAGGTTGATTCAAGGGCCAATTCTACCAGTGCTGCAACTAGGAACAAGAAGCTACTAGGAGCAAAGGGCATCGCTACTAGGAACAAGAACCCCACTAGGGGCTCCTGGCATCGCTACTAGGAACAAGAACGCTACTAGGGCTGTTTCAGTCTTATTTGTTTTGCCACGACACCAAAAACGTCGGTAAGAAGGACATAAAGATTGTTAGCCCAAGTGTGCTGGCCTCAGATGTCAGTCGGACTCTTTGGAAAACAGTGCAACAGCACTAAGTCACTAAGCATCGAGCAAACGGAGAGACAGAGGAGACACCAGAACAGCTATAGAAGTTGTTAGGCATGACTCAGTCCTTGCCAGTAGGATGCCAAGTCACAAGTCCTTCCCACATCGCAGCCAAGCTGGGATTGCGGCCGAAGAAGTCATTGAGGAAGCCAATCTCGCAAGAATTGAAAGCAAAGACCAAAACAAATATGCAAAATGGGGCTCCCGAAAGAGGCAACCTGCTTCTACCAAAATCTTACACTTTGTAGCCCGTGGCTCCCTGTACCTTGCAAACGCTCTCCAGCGTGGTAAGGTTGGTAATGCCAGCCACAATGGGAATGAAGCCAAAGAAAATGCCAGCAATGAGACCTAAAATCCGACAAACACCTGATCAAAAATGTGCACTTCCGCAACACAATGTTGTTGAATGTTGTTGATAAGTCTGCTTAGTGGCGTATTGAAAACATGCCCCAGCATTACTGACAGCGACCAATGCTTCACCCAGTGGCCATAGCCAATCAGCGACGATGCAGCCACATGGCGCGGATCCAACTCAGGATTGTGGTGAGGGTTAAAAAATGTGGAATTTATGAACCAACATCATGGCACAAAAGGAAGATCATACTCTCCCGAAGTTACAGAATCTGTATAGATGTTGCAGGTGGTGATACATCTTGCCAAGCTGCTTGGAGGTCCGCGTATCGCACATCCGAAGGGTCGGGGGGCACAGAGACGACAAACTCCTGCCAAGAACGCTTCACATTTCTCAAACCACTTCTTTCGATTTGGGATTCAAGGGCTCTCCACCAAGCCGAGAAAATTGACTACTTATGCGGAAAAGGTGCATCTTGTTTCCACCCCACGCCTCGTCGTCGGCCGTGTAACGCATGTTCAGGGCCTCAGGTGCACACACTTCTACCAAGCACTGAACAACTCATGAGGAGAACTCAGAAATTGAGAGTCACATAAGATCCACCCTATCAGAGGTGCTCAACCCTTGCAGGACACAGATTCCTTGATCAAAAAAGATATGTGAATGTTGTCGTGAAATAGGTCCAAATCCTGTGGGCCAGTCTGGTCTGGTCCTCCAAAGTTGTCTGTTCCATCGTGTTCTTGTTGTTGTTGTTGCCGTCGTCGTCGTTGTGCTTGATCCTCTTTCAATCAGAAGTACGTGGGATTGCTCTTCCGGATCACCATGCGCCTTTCGTGTGCTGCCGTTTTGCGGAGAGCTGCGGCCCCTGATCACTGCGATTGAAAGACGCTTTGGCTGTACATGCAATTTGTGCTTCTTATCCTGATTGGACCTCTGTCCCACGTCCGAGGGTTGTGCAATAGAAGCTGCGTGGCGCATCCATTGTGCCTATGTGTGCATAACAAAGGTGAGGGTTGCAGTGTTGTGATGGGCACGGCAAGGCGTACTCGTATGCGACACCACATGGCTCCACACCTGCCAGGTTGGAGGCTATCGCTATTAGGGTGGAGGCCATTGCTATTGGGGTGGAGGCCATCGTGTCTAGGTTGGAAGCCATCGCTATCAGTAGGGGCTGTTGGCTGTTGTCCCTTTGTTAGTTCCAACCAAAAAACGGAGCTATGCTGCGGCCAAGCGACGAGCCCAACGCGATGGCCATGCCTGGTACAAAGGTAAACTTCATCTATATAAATCACCAACTAGGTGTCAGCGTTAGTCCATGCGATGACCTGGAACAGCACCAGATTGACACGTAGTCGATCAGATGAGATCAAGACTTGGGCCTTCCCACAAACCATTGCCTTGATTAAGACTGCGTCGGAGGGAACTTGTGATTGTGAATGGACTGACAAGAATTGGACTTTCATTTCAGCTGGAGGCACTCCGAGACTTCCGCTTCCATGTCAACGGGTGCTTGTTTCACGTCAGGGCATACTTGGCTGAACGTTCGCTGGACATAGTTTTGACTTCCCAGCACACGTATCACTACGCTACTTCTCAATGCAAAGGTGGGCTGCAGTGGACCAACCAATTTGACACTCTATTTGCTGACGTGTCTTGCTTGACCCGCCCTGATGGATCAAAGCAAAACAACGACGACTCCCTGAGCCAGTGTCAAAAGGCATTCTTAAAGAATATGCTCACGGTTGGAGGATGATATCCAAATCAAACCCAGGCAGAAGATGAGATGAAGAGATCAAGGGAAGAAAAGCTTCAACCAGGGCAAGCAAAAGATCATGAACCAGCACGTCAATCATGTGCACGAGCAATCAAATGCGCCGCTTGCAGATGCCTTGGACTCCTGAGGGAGGGAGTCCCGAGACTTGAAGCTGGTCCTCTTCTTTGGCGATGCATGGAAGATTCAACAGATCGCACGGATTTGCCTGCCAATACACATAGATGTTCATTCCATGTGTGTGTGTGTGCGTGTTTTTATAGGGAGATCCCCCACCAAGGGGTTTGGTCTATTCTCTTTCTTCCAGGGGCTGTTTGGGAGGTCTCCCTATTTTTGTTACTCACCATTACACACCCATATCATATCTTCAAGGCTTTGAGTGATGTATGTTCGAAATCTCAGGCGCAGCGTTAGACATCGAAGTCTTGACTGATTCGTGCGGTCCAGCGCGGTCAATGTCATCTCCAGCAACTTCTTGCGCAGGCTGTCATCGTCGTCCGGGACAAAAATCCGAAGAGCCAGCCGCAGCCAAAGCCTCATCACCCAAGGACTCCCCAGCAAGGATGGCGCGTTCGAGGGAGGACCAAGATCGACAAAGCTGCCAAGAGTGGCGGCTTCCTCCCCATCGAGGCATCGAGCACAGCACATGGAAAGCAAAAGGGCGCTTCAAATCTATTGAAATTCAAGGGCAGCTTGAGCACAATGTACTGAGAACACACGACATACTATTAGCATGCTCCCAACACGTCAAGATGTTCAATACCAACAACAAACCAAAAACAAATGCTTTTTGTACGTCCTACCGTGCCTATTTGTTATCTTGTTCCCGGGGACTAACTTTTGTTTTACTGTGTTACATCCATGTGATTTCTACTGTTTAGGCTCTTGACTTATTTTGCTTTTTGTTGACATTTGTTTGGAGATCTCTGCTGGAAGCAATTGTGTTGGGCAGGCCAAGACTAAAAGAAGCCGTGAATTGCATCGATGCATGTGTTTATTAACATAGTCAAGGAAACTCTTATAGCCTGGTGGGGCGGAAGTCACAATTTCTTTCTAATATATAATCACTGCAAAAAGGTCAATCTAAACTTATGGCAAGCAGCCATGATGCTTTGCTTTTGGTCTTTGAAGGTCACGAAGGCAGCTCCGCACATGTCTGCACAAGTCACTGTGGTGAAAGCTGTGAACTGTGAACCCGAAACCAAAGCAAAGGTAGAAGAAACGAGCATTCTCAAAAGTAGAAGCCACCCATAAACACTACACGAAGAGAATACACAGGAACAGTCCGGCCTTCATCTGATGAAAGGATCTTTTTTCTCTCTTCCTCCACCTGCAACGAAACTGTGACTTGAAAACTGTAATCATGGTTGATCAAAAGTCAGAAACACATTGCTCCACCAAAATCTTCCGAACAAGGCATGAAAAGCCAGGGGCTGCAGAAACGAACGCTGCAGTTGGAGCCGAATTGTACAAATATTTGTGACTTGTTTCACAACATAAGCTGCAGCTTTGCTGAAATATGAGCAAAGTTATCTCGGAGGCAGTCCTCCAAACAAGCCTGTGGACAGGAGTCCCTTCAAAAACTGAATTGCAGGGAGGAGAGAGGTTTAGTGCAAGTTATATCGATGTAACTTTGGTGACACTGTAGTACAATGTAGTACAGCAGAAAGTTTCACGCTTGTTCATAGGTTTTCTTTGTTGGGTCCCCACACGGCTGATCAGGGGCCTAAGAACAATGATTCGATGCCAAGCTTTGATGTCCCATCTCCTATAAAGCGCCGGTAGAGTGTGGTAGACTTAGGAATGCTGTTCAAATGAAGACAGTCTCGGCGACCACTGAAAAGGTCATTGGGCAACAAAACTTGCCACCCTCATTAATTATGCCCTTAGATCTTGTTTTAGTTGTTTTTCTGTGTGCCCTTGTCTGAACAGTTTTGAAAATAGGCTTTAGCCCTTCACTTGCCTTGGCCACAGCTTCTGCCAGCTTCTTTTCAAGCAGCGATTGCCGGTCCGTGTCCACCGCGCCTGATCAGTTCAAGGAACAATGATGGCAGCATTTCGTGTCACTTCATGTCCCTGATGTGAGCAATGTTTAGGTAAACTGAAATGTCACCCTCTTTGCTTTTCCATCCACACATTCTACATCCCCTGCTCACCTTCTTTGTCCCAAGCAAATTCCGCTTCATGCAAATCCTGACTGCAGTAGTTGCGGGCTGTGATGCCTCAGGAGCCACAAAAAGAACTGTCCGATCCCGCTGCTCTGTCGTGAGTGAAAATCGCATTGGACAGTATAGCCTAGCAAAGCATTTATATACAGTATAGAAAACGTCCAACTGTTTGGAAATGCTGCGCAAGTCACAATGCACAGACATGCACACATAAACAGAATTACCCGCCAAACGTGCAATTATCTTTGATTATTGTCTGCGGCACAAACTGGCATACACTTACTTCGCAAATCTTTGTGAACCCCATGTTTAACTTTCGCAGGTCTCTTGATTGGTCTCTGAGAATGAAGTGCACGCATGAAAGATTCCTTCCAAGATGGTTCAAAACCCTCTTGTGAACCTGGTAGGTGGACCATGGATTGCATACATTTGCCGAAACCTTGGCCGGACTTTTGTAAAACGTCCACACTACGACGAGCACCAAACGCTGGGCTCTGGTGAGGACATCGAGATTCTCGTCACACTCGAAATTGCAATCAGTTTCAGTACTGTCGCAATTCGTTTGCACCAAATATAAGAAGAATCCAGCTTCTCTCCATTTAGGTCCTGTAGGTTCACGGCTTTAAAGGCTCTCAACGACTACAGCAAACTGTTTCAAGAAAACAGACAACTCTGATGGTACGGGCGTTGCCCCTATCAACCTGATCAAGTGAGCTCTCGTCATTGGTACAAGATTGCGAGTGGGTGTTGGTCAGCAACAATCTTCAAGACTACCGGCAAATTGGGGTATGTGTATATGCATGTTACATGTGTATATAAGATATTAATATGGTTATCTCTTGGGGCTGCAGGTTTTACACAGAGATTGTCAAGTGTGAGTGGGTGTGTGTGTGTGCGTACGTGTATATATACAGTCTGGGAACAACAGTTAGAATATGAAAAATGTTTTAAAAGAAATTAGAATATGAAAAAAACATTTTATAGACTATGACTATGGTCCTGGCTTAAGTAGTTCAAAAGAGAGTGCAGATAGAATACACATATCTGGGAAACCTTTGACGGAAGTATGTCGTCATGATTGTTGCTGCTGCCAGCTGCTGCCATTGTGAATATTGTGGATCGAGAAACGCTTGCTGGCTGGACTGCTTACTGTATTATGTTTTGTTGCCGTGCTCTGCAGTCAGGCTTTGTACTTCGTACTGTATGTATGTACTGTCTGTATGTAGGCGCAGTATGTATACTGCAACGGGACGAAAACGCGACGCGAAACGCACGTTTGTTGAAGCACAGTGTCGGCGTCCCCAAGAGCCGCCGCACTCCAACAATACACCGTTTTTCTGATGTTCCATCTCCCTGCTTCTTGTTCTTTTTCTGCTTCCTCCTCCTCCCTCCGGAGGATCTACACTTCCCGAGCAGAGTCTATCCTGGAAGTGATGTGTCCGTTCTTGCGCGACCTTGTTTTCACATCGCAGCAATTCATCCACGCCCAGGTTTTTTGTCTCACTTTTGTCTCACATTGAATTCATTGTTTTGGCGATAAAATCCCACTGTTTTGTCCTTTTCGAAAAAGGCGGAATGGGAGTGGGCCCTTGCTGTCGTGACACAAGTTGCACATCAGCTCCTGAAAAATCTGTCTGAGCGACCTAGCAAGCTCCTATTTGATGGCTCCATCGCAGTGACCGCATTGTGTGCAGTGCCTTTTGCAGTTATGGAGCAAATATCTCCTTCATCGGATTGCCGAGCACCTACCAAACTGACGCATGCTGGCGCTGTCAAGGGTGCTGCGGAGGATGCAATTCCGCTTCGTTGGAGCACACCTTGTGCAAGTGTTCACTAAAGAAAGCTGGCCTTCGAGCAATTCATCCATGCCCAGAGTTGTTGTCTCACTTTTGTCTCACATTGAATTCATTGCAACGTTTGGTGATAAAATCACGAGATCCACAGGATTTCCTGGATTTGTCTTCTGGTGGGTTGCTTGTTGTGTTTTTGGTTTTGTGTTTTGGTGCGTTTGTTGCCGTGTTGTGTTTTTGCTTTTGGTACTCAAGAAGTCTTAATCTCTACAACCGCTGACCTTCGCATTGTTGCGATAACGGCAGCCCCACGCGTGCAAAAAAATGGAATCCAATCTCTACAATAGCATGCATCATGCACCCCATGTCGAGTGCCATTTTGAGTCTGGCAACTCGAGCAATTCAACGCTCACCCGCTGCAATCTATTCTCTCGCATGCCCTCAACAGATGACATCGTGCACCCCATATGGGGTGCCCTTTTGAATCCAACAACTGGACCTTGCCACGGATAAAAAAGGGCACCCCTAAGCAACTCAAAACCTTCCGCCTCCAACGCTTGCCTGCTGCAATCTGATCTCTCTCCTGCCCTCTTCAACCCCCAAGCAAGTCAGAACCTTCCTGCCTCATCCACGTGAACTCCCACCGCATAGGGACATCATGCACCCCATATGGGGTGCCCTTATGAGTCCAGCAACTAGACCTTCCGCCCCCACACCCCCTTTAACTCACTTCGTTCGCTCCATCAACCTCAAGCCTTGCCTGTCGGCTGGCTTTCGTGATATATTTCAGTAACTGCAATCTCTTTCTATGCGTTTACATAGCCAATTATATAATATACAATACAGTAGGTTTCAACTTCCTCTAGCAAGCGATATGTGTTATATGATGTGTGTTTGCATGCTTGCCCAGAACGCTGTATGCAAATAAGCCGCGGTCAAATCAATAATGCAAGATTCAAGATCAGCTAACAAGTCTTTGAAGCACAGCGTCCCCATGAGCCGCCGTAGTCCAAACACTTGTTAGTCTATTGGGTGTACATACCCTACTGTATGCAGTTGTGTTTGTTGTTGTACTTCTTGCTGTTACTGCTTCTGGATGATGTTGATCGAGCAATGCTTGCTGCTTGCTTGTTTTTGTTTGGTTGTTGTCTTATAAAATTGGTGACCGTATGTTCTATCTGCACTCGTATTCTAAGTGCTCTTTTGTACAACTAGCTAAATTTGTTTATTTCAGATCATATTTGAACTGTGTGTTTCCCTGATAGTATATATCTATATGTAGATAGATAAAGTCCAAAGGACAAACTTGCAAAAGAGACCCATTCAAGAGACTCATTTGATCTGAAAACTCTTTTCGCTCCATCTCCGTGCACTCAGTCCCTATTGCGGCGAAAGGAACAACTTAGAAGTGTTGAAGACTGTCTGATGAAGCTAACTTGCTTGAGGCATCCTGCACGTGACAATCCACAAAACAGCTCACAATCTGCTTGGTGTGCAACACAAATGCAAGCTGACTCATGCACAAAAAATTGCGAGACTCCAAACATGCAAGCCCGCTTCCCAATCAAAGTAATTGTGTTTACAAACACAGACACACTCAACAAGCGCTGCATCAGTCGTCCATGTCTCAAGCAAGGCCTACACAGTTGTTTGGTGGAATCCAGGGCATTCGGCAATTCAGCTCATGTGAATGTTTGCTGACTTGCTCCTAGTAGTACGGCCAGGAGCCCCTAGTAGCTTCTTGCTCCTAGTAGTAAGGCCAGGAGCCCGTAGTAGTGTCCTTGCTTCTAGTAGTAAGGCCAGGAGCCCCTAGGAACTTCTTGCTCCTAGTAGTACGGCCAAAAGCCCCGGGCCCCTAGTAGCTTCTTGCTCCTAGTAGTAAGGCCAGGAGCCCCTTGCTCCTAGTAGTAAGGCCAGGAGCCCCTAGTAGCTTCTTGTTCAGTAGTAAGGCCAGGAGCCCCTAGTAGCTTCTTGTTCAGTAGTAAGGCCAGGAGCCCCTAGTAGCTTCTTGTTCCTGTGTTAAACTCTGCTCACAGGTAGTTTGTGTGCTGCCGAGGCTTTTCTGCTACTCAAACGTTCATTTTACCAAGCACAACACTTGTAGTGTGATTCAACATGTTCAACTGCCATGTCCAAACATATTATACAACAAGAGGATAAATATCGCCGTCTCGTGTCTGCTGTTTCTCACTTCACGCTCTGTCTGCCACTATCAAGCATCAACTATACACAACTTTGGGACTTCCCCAAGTAAATGATGCACAAATAGTTGGTATATGTTGATCAATGGCATGGTGATTTGGTTGTGGCTCCCATAGATATCGTACTGCGCAAACTGTAGCTCCTGCACCGAAGATTTCCTCGAAGAACTGTGTGACGCTAGCAGCGTTTTGGTACCTGGTATTGCAGATTGGTTGCATTGACCAGCTGTATCTTTAGCAAAGTATGCTTGACCACAATTGAGTGCATTTCTTTTGAAATGGGGCACTCAAAAGGAATACTCTCCACCAAAACAGTTTGTGAGCGTGGCATTGGCATTCGCATCAGCCACGCTTTTCGGCGGTGCATAAAGCACGTCTCCTGTCGGAAGGGCAGGTCGGGTGCCGAATCACGGTGCCGAAAATGACAGCTTTCCGCTGGCAGCCCAAGCCAGGGAGCTTGTGTATCTCTTGGCTCTAATTCTAAGCTCCGTTCAAGATTGAAAGGCTCTACTTTGTCCTTTTCAGGCTGGCTATGTAAACTGTATCAACTCCCTGAGCTTGGTTCAGCGTTCTATTCTCAACAACAAACAAATACAAAAAGTACTTGTTCTGTTGATCAGCTTGAAATCAATCCCGTTCACATCTGCCTGAACTCGGAAGATGTACACTTGGGTGACTATCACGGCATACCACACGAAGAAGGCCACTGGGTAGCAAACGAGGCTGTTCCTGAAGTGTCTCGCGCAAATGCACGCCGGCTTTCGCTTGCTTTCCTCTGAACCATCGCATGTACATATATACATTATACATTGGCCAAGATAAACCTAAACCACAGAGTACATTCGTCAAGAGGAAGTAAAAACCACAGAGCTGTACTTATATTCAGTCAAACAAAATGAATCTTGGGCAAGATGCTCTCGCACGTTTGCAAATCCGATTGTACTGAGACGACTGTTAGCAGCATGTCCGCCGCTGAATGCATACAAAGGACCTGGACAGTTTGGAGCGAAAATAAAACGCAAAACCAAAACCCTATGTTGGGTATATCCTAATCCCTGTAACAGTGGATGATGATGGATAGTAAAGGCCTTTCCTTAAAATACTGATCATTTTTAACCGACTGTTACAGGCAATAGGACACCCCCAAACCCTATGTTTGTATAGTTGGGGCCAGACTCAAAACCATCAATGCGGGGACGCCAAGAAAGAGAAAGAGCTTCATGACCTGAGTCAGATGGTCTTCTAGCCACTTCTCCTCTTTCCAAACACTGATGTTACACTGATGTTGACTTAAGCTAGTGGTACAGAAAGTTTGCAACAAAAAAAATAGTAATAAAAGTAATAAACAAGCAAACAAACAAGGCCCCAGCAAAGTTCGAGAACTCCAAGAGCATACCTTGATGGGTCGAAGGATCGGTCGAACTCCTTCACATTCTCACATTTATGAGACCTTCCTCCGCTTCCTCCAAGTCATCAGTCATTCTGCCATGACTAAAACATGGACTGTCCAAGGTTT